CTTCAGTTGGTTCAAAATAGAGCTGCCAGGCTGCTGACGGGGACTGGGCGTTATGTTCACATGACTCCAGTCCTACGTGAGCTTCACTGGCTTCCCATTGAAGTCCGGGCCCAATTCAAGGTGTTGGTGATGACCTATAAAGCCCTAAACAGCTTGGGTCCTGGTTACCTGAAGGAGCGCTTACATCCATATATGCCCAGCCGCCCCTTGAGATCTGTGGGAGAGGTCCTTCTCCGGGAACCCTCTGTGAAAGAAATTAGGAGGGTGAGTACTCGGAGGAGGGCTTTCTCTGCGGTGGCGCCCAATCTATGGAATGCGTTCCCCAGAGAGGTCTGCCTGGCGCCGTCGTTATTTGTTTTTTGGCGCCAGGCGAAGACCTTTTTATTCAAATGTTATTTTAATTGTTAATAGTATTTATTCATTTTATTCTTTGGCCAGGGCGACTTAATTTATATTGTTAATTTATATTATTCTATTGAAGTTTATTTATGGTTCTGAGCCGCCCCGAGGCTTCGGCGAATGGGGTGGCATAGAAGTCTCCTAAATAAATAAAATAAATAAATAAAATAAAATATGAGTGTCACATGGCTTCCCTTTTCCCTCCAGGCTGTTGTTTCTGTAGGTTAAAACAGTTGATTAAGTTGCATACAGTTCAGTAAGCAGTGTATTTATATTAGCTGACTGGAAGATGCCAAGGGGAGGTCTTCTAGAAAAACTTGTGCAGTTGGTAAGTTTTGGCAGTGTATTAGTGTAACTGAAAGATTTCATTCAGAAGCTTCTCCAGCCTCACAAAAATAATAAATGACGCTTCAAGTTTGCTGTGTAATGAACGCTTAATAACAATGCTACTTTATTACCGGTCTGATACACAGTTGTGGTAGAGGGGACAAATCTAGTGAAACGTATCTCATTGCTATGAAACATTTGTCTGTTTTACATCATGTATTTTTATTCAGTCCCTATTTATTTCCTTTTTTCCACAGTTGTTCCTGTAATTTTAAAAGGACTGACCTATGATGAGAAACGCGGAGCCTGCAGTGTTGGCTCTAATGTACGGGATTCTGCTTGCTATGTATGTTGGGCTTTTGCTCGTGCTTATGACCCCTTAGAACTGAGGCCATTTGTTAATGAAATTGCAAGGTAAGTTTCTAACATGACGCCTTTTATTTATCTGGGACTGATTTCACAAAGTGAATAATGTAATACAACAGCATTTTAATGGGGCTTAAAAATGGAAGATGATTAACACAAAACAAAAACAATCTCCTTCTTGCTTGCTTCAAAACTGTTTGGTGAACACTTCTCATTTGTGAAACCTGTTATTGTTGTATTTCTGACCTGAGCAGAGTTGCCAAAATGATTATTGGTCCTCTGTTTTCTTCAAGAAACATCAATAGTGTTCTTCACACAGCGGGGAAAATCAAGCTATCCTTTAGAAAAGGGTAGTTCACTGTTTCAGATACTCTCACCTGCATCTAGATGAAGGGTGTGTCATCTGGAGACATCCTCAGAGATTGTACTCTTAATGCCATGCTGCAAAAATTTAGCAGTATAGCAAAGGCAAAAATTTGGCAGTCTGCTGATGAATTTTTGGACTAAAACATAACAGAGGTTGCAATAACAACAGATTGGCTTTTTTTCCAATATAAATTTATATATTTGCAATCTCCATTATGGTTTGCCCCCAAAATTCAGTGGCAGATTGCCTTTTTCTCTTCCGTCTGTCCCTTCCTTCCTTACACCCTTCCTTCGATCCGTCCATGCATCCATCAGCAGGACAGAGAATGGGCAGCAGTGAGAATAGGTAACTGCATATAGTCTGCAGGACATATGTTATCCACCCCTGATGTAGATGGACTGGTAACTTCTTGTTGCAGAAGTTGTGCAGTAGGCCTTACTAAAAACTGTTAGAATAACATGGGAGTCATTTTGAACATATTGGGGTTACCTTGAGATTGAGAACACAGAGTCATCTATAGTCATCTTAGAATAGTTCCTAAGGGCCTTCAGTGATACACTTCAACTTCATTTGACATATCTGCTTCACTTTAATATTTAGAGAGAGCATCATCCCAAACAATCTTATCTGAAAAACGTTCACAGGTTTTACAGTAAGGAATATGTACTAAAGGAATTTTGTCCACTTTGTTTTTTTTAAGCCAAATATTACAAGTATTGTTGGAAGCCTGAAATTTATCCATAGAACTTGTCTGCTTATGGAACTTAACTTGGCAGTAGATGAAAATGCTTCCTTGTTTTCAGTTCCTGAGGGAAAAAAGGGACTGCTAACTTAGTGTGGGAGCTAAGTAGTAAATCTTTTTGCTGAGAATCAGGAACCTTTACAGTATGACACACAGTTTCGACTGTATTAGCACATCTTGGTTTACAGCCAATAACAGTAATCACATACCTCTTCTTTTCAAATAGGCTTAGCTTTAGGTCTGCGTGTATGTTTCTGTCTGAGAACAGTCATCGCATTAGCTGCAAAAAAATTTAAAAATGAAGAATTCAGTATTTGGGGGCAAAACTCTTGAAGTCCATAATTTTATTGATTTTATTTTAATTTCAACTAACTGATTTCAGGCGATGTTTAATTTCAAAATAGTCTTGATTAGCTTGAGACACAGTGTGTATCTGTGACTACGTTGCAACTTTATTTAAGCAATTTATGTACTGTTTACCATATCAAGAGGTATCTCTAAGCAGTTTATAGAAAGAAATTAAAATGCATTATAACAAATGTAAATACTAATCAGTTTTAATGTTTAATATATATGGAAGCCGAGCTCAAAGCACAATAATTCATAAGCAGAATAAGTGAATGGCATACTCATTCAGGGAAGGCTTTGGCAAAATTTGTGTTCTTAGCAGGTGACAAGCCACATTTAGCATTCCATAAGGTGGGCATGAACATGGAGAAGACCAGCTTCTGAGTTTCTGCCAGATAGGAACCTGTAGGTCACAGTATAACCCTCTAGGACTCCTCTCTGATGGTCTTACTGATTGCACAACACTGTATTGAAGAATGTGATCTGCCAGGTAACTGGTTTCGGGTTATTCGGGGCTTTATACGACAAAGCAAGACTTCTCTTCACAATGAGTAGGTAGCTAGTGCAGTAGCTCAACACTAGATATATATGTGCTCAACCAGGCATTGTATGCAGCATTTGCAGCTGCATTCTGCAGTTTTTGCAGCTTCTGGGTCAAGCACAAAGGTGGTGGTGGTGTGGTGGTGGCTGTTAGGGGCTATCAAGTCATCTCTGTCTTATGGCAACCATATGAATCAATGCCCTTCGAAATGTCCTGTCCTTCATGGACCTGCTTACCCCTTGTAAGCAAGAACGTATAAAGCAAATTACAGTAATCTAAATGAAAAATTACCAGTAGATGGACTAAAATGGTGAAGCTTTTCCTGTCCAAGCAAAGGTGTAGTTTGTTTATTCATTATATTTATATCCTGCCTTTTTCCTTTCAAGGAACTCAAGGCAGCTTACATAATTCCCCTCCTATTTTCATTCTTATCCTCACAAAAACATCACAGTGAGCAAGGCTGGGCTGAGAGTGTGTGACTGGCCCAGTTACCCAGTGAGTTCCATGACTGAGTGAAGACTAGAACCCAAGTTGCCTGAGTCCCAGCCCTTAATTGCTGCTACTCTTAATTGCTGTACCACACTGGTATCTAGTTAAGACGCCAATTAAAGCTCATATTAGGCACTCCTTGCCAGAGAAGGCACATGGGTTTCTAATGACCATGATGAACCCAGGCATACCCCCCAAACTACTTACCCATCCCCTTTGAGGGATGGCAAACTCTAGAACAGATTGTCCAGTGTAGAGAAACCCTGTCACAGAGAAACAGAACTGGGTGTCATGGCCTTGAAAACTGCAAGGAATATGAGAGGCTCTGTCAGCTTTCTCAGGTGAAAATAAGTAGAAGTTAGCTCACTCCTCTGCCCAGCTGCAGTTTTTGCCTTCACAAACATGAGAACTGGCAGTTTCCATGGGAGACCAGCAGAAGGAGAGACTAGCTTGAAGAAGTGTTATTCAAGCTCAAGGGAAACTTCTAGGCTAGAAAAGAGGCCCCATGATAGGCTGAAACTCCTGTCTGTTGGTGGTTTGGTGAAGGCTGTTGTGGCTACTTCTTGCTTAAAAGTCAACTGTTTAACCCTGGAAATGTCACTAGGAATATCTAATTTTTCATCTTTTTATTTGGATCCACCGCCTGTTATATTGATGGGAGTACTGTTCACAAGGTCTGTGACAAGTGGGATGTTAATCTCCTGGACTTTATTATTATGAACTACAGTAAGGGTTATGATACTTCAAATACACTGTGTAGTCTTACGAACTTCAGATCATATGCTTTTTGTGAAGTGGATCCCCAGACCCATCAAGGCTAGCGTCAGTCCTTAATCTTGGATTTTTTGTGCCTGGACCCATGCAGAGTAGAGAAAAGAAAGTTGGGAGCTTAGGACCTCAAGTTCTCTGCATGTAGCTGTTGAATGCAGTCTGATCTCTTAAACTAGTTAAGCTTGGACTTACATGACCCAGATGTCCCAGAGTTGTGCGTACAGTTGGTACTGACCTCTGTGTTGAGTATGTGTATTAGTTCAGATCTTTCCCTTGAACCTTGGTAAGAACATAAAAAATAGCCCGCCAGCTGTGCACAAACAAGATATAAGTGCATCAGCACTCTTCTGCCCATTTCCCCCAGCAACTGGTGCACATAAGCATATTGCCTCTGGTACTGGGGGTAGTGTGTGGCCATCGGGACAGGTAGCCCTTGATAGCCTTTTCCTTCATAAATTTGTCCATTTCCCATGTAAATTAATTTCATACTTTATCCATTGTATGAAGAAACACATTGTTTTATCTGACCTGAATCTTCCACCAATCAGCTTCATGGAATGATTTCAGCTTCTAGTTTTATAGGAAAGGGTAAAGATGTTTCCTGGTCCACAATCATTCTGTACACCTCTATCATTTCTCTTGTCTTTTTTCTAAGTTAAATCATCTGTTGTAACTTTTCCTCATGGGGAGTTGTTTCAACTGCTTGATCATTTTAGTTTCCTGTCTTTAAACTTTTTCCAGCTCGACAGTATCCTACCATAGGTATGGTGACTAGAACTATACACATTTTTCTAAGTGTGGTCACACATATGTATAAGGGCAGTATGAATATGGACAGTTTTATTTTCCTTTACTAATTATGCCTAACATGGAGTTTGCCTTTTTCCCAGAAGCCATGCACTGAGTCTTTATTTTTATTGAAATGTTTGAACGAGTGCAAGGTCTCTTTCTTGCTCAGTCAGCCAGTAGCTCAGGTCCCTTCAGCTTTTATTTGAAGTTGGACTTTTTGTCTGGATTACTTTATGTTGAGTTGTATTGCTATTTTGATGTCATTTCTTTCAGTTTGACCTTTGACTACCTGAAATGGTTGGCTTCTGGAATCATCCTGCTCATTTCTTACACTCTGAGCTTTGCTATCATGGGTCTTTAGTAAGGCTATAGATATTTGCTCTAATATCTGGTTGAGAATGGTACTTTTGCCTCAGGCAGTGAGTCATCTGTGTGTATTCTAAAGTGTGTAACTGTTTGACTTTCTCATTATATTGTTTGCAATAGCATTATTTCTGATCCCATATTTGATTGTCTGCAGGTCTGGGATCCTAACCCATTATGAGTAGGTAGTAGTAGAAGCCATAAATCCCTGGATCAAGGGAGACCTTTTTCAAGAGTGAATGTACCACCACCTACTCCTTCAAGTCTGCAGACACCATTCCCTTGATACACCTAACCAGCCCCTCCCAACTCTTTTCAGTAAGAAATGATGGCATGAATCAAGAGAACAAGTTGTAATGTCCTATCCATATAATTAAGCCAGGAAAGTTGAAGCAGATCCTATACAGTTGGACCAAAAAATGCATTGGCTGGATTCATTAGATACTGTTATAAAAATCAGTGAAGTCAATAAATCTGTCCTTCATAAAATTCACATAGCTGCAACACAGGATTTAATAGTGAAGATCACACAAACACATACTGCAACAAACTTGGGAAAACTCTGCTGGGAAGTGGCTATATAGCTCGGTTACAGAGTGCTTGCTTTGCATACAGAAAGTTTTGGGTTCAGTATCTTAGGTGTGGGAAAGAATGCCTGAAAAGCTGGATAGCCATTTCCAGTCAGTGTTGACAATACATGAACCAATAATCTCATTTCCTCTGATAGCTTTCTAATGGCAGTTTCCTATGTTTCTATGAACTTGAAGGTGCAATACAAGTATGCAAGGAAGGGTTTTTTCTTTTTTTCAACCCAGGCAGTGCACACTAATTATGCCCTCTTAGGCATGTCTGGTTGGCTTTAGAATGAGGCATACTCCACCTGTGTCATAGTTGTAGTCCAACCTGTTTCATTACTCAGAACTCATCAGAAATCCAGGGAGCACTTGTACACTGCAGCAATGGAAGGGATGATCTGGTCACCTAGGGGTATAATAAAAGTACATTTCTTTTAACCTTTGATTAGGATTTACCCAGTTTACAGCTCCTGGACTGAACAGACTTAAATGCAAACATTAGTGGAAATTCATATACTTCTGAACTGGCAATGTGATTTGCAGAACTCCTTCCCTGAAAAGGGTTTGGCATTATGCATATATTTGAAAAATTCACATGAAAAAATAGCACAATCTCACTTTAATCAATGGGAAGATGTGCAATACAGTTGAAAAATACATACAAAAGTACACTATACATACAAAAATACATATAAAAATACATACAAATGTTCATGAGGAAAAAATAACCCTATGCAGAAATGAAACAGAGTAAGTTCTGGTATATAATTTGGAGAAATTTGACAAGTTTGCGTTTTGCTTGTATGTATATCCCTGATGTCAACAGCCTGTTATGTCTTCCATTTCATAGTGTGATTAAAGTAGAACACTCACCATGTCCCTGGATACCTTTCTTAATGAAGTCCTAGTAGCAGCCTGGGTTGTTAAAATAGGCTTCTGTTACTGCTACTGCTTAGTGTGTTGGGTCTCTGGCTCCCTGATTTCATCTCTGCCTTGTACTCAGATGTTTGTCCTTCCCATGGCAGCCAAGTTGTGATGGTGCAGGAGTAGCTTCTCAAATTGTCATGGACCAGAAAGATTGCCTGCATCTTGACTCCAGCCTTGGGGTGATTCCGGATTCCATTGAATTCCAAAACATGTTGAGGGTGAACTAACTTAATGGATCCCACAGTGCCAGATACCAGAATTGGTGCCATGAAAGGAACTTCAACAGGGCTACACTGGGAGAGAGCAAATTGGAATGCATGTCACAGATAATTCCATTTTGCCTCTCTTCCTAAATGATGCCCTAAAATGAAGGCAAGTGCACTCAGTTTCGTTCACTAAGCAATTGTGTGCAAAATAGTATAATTTTTTGACAGATTATTGAAAAGTTCATCACCAGAAAGCTGGTATTTCATTCATGATCTGTTATAAGATGAATTTCCTAAAATCCAAAAGAAGCGCAAGGTATCATCTGAAACTGAATTGCTGTACAATTGTATTGTTTTGGTATTGCTGAGAAACAGAACAGATGTCAAAAGTTATGATTAGTCTGTTCTTTTGCCTGTGCTTCAGAATAGTACTATTTCTTTCAAGTCAGAGGAGATAGAAGGCAGTGTGGGAGTACAGGTTATTCTGTCTTCCCTGGAGTACTGAGTGGTGAGAACAACAGAGAGGTGTGGCTCTCATGTAAATGGAGCCACCTGGCTCTAGGGCAAGATTAGCCTGCAGAATCAGGAAATATGAATATTGCTCAGAGCTACATCTTGTGCTCTGATGAAATACTGAGAAATATTTCTACATGAAGAATAGTTTGTTGCCTGACTAGTTCATTCTGAAGAGCATTTTCTGTCTGCTACATATTGGGTAACATTTGCACTTGATAACTCCCTTTTCTACAGCTGCTTGTCTGGCTTTTGTAGCATAAATGAGAGTTCTTGAAAATAGGCCATTGAGGCCTTTTATGTATCTGTGCTTACTCATATCTCTGCTTTTCTCTTCCAAATTGTTCATTTAACTAGCAAATAGATAATGGCAATAATTCTGACTGCTTTCCCTTTTCTTTGTATGTCTATGCCCTTCTTGGAGATCAAATAAGGACAGTGATGCTTTCACTTTGTGCAGTGTAATATGAGTGATTTCTAATGTAGGCAATCATTTTCCTTGCAAGGCTTCATTTCCAAAAATGATGTTATACTGACAGTGATTGTAAATGTGGTGGGTGTGTTGTTATGTGCTGTCAAGTTGTCTCCAGCTTTTGGCAACTCAGTGAATTAATGCCCTCCAGAATGCTTCCCATTGCAGGGTATTCCCAGTGTCCAGTAGTAATGTTCCCTTCAGTGCTTTAGCCAGACTGAAGAGTAGACTTTCAGAACAGTTTTTGCTTTTCCATATTTCCACAACCTCCTCCACAGTCTTACATTGCTAAATAATATTTATTGCTTTGTGTTCCTATTTAAACCTCATATGCAAATCCCATCCCAGACTCTAATGTAGTCCTCTAGGAAAACATGTACAGAATCTGTCCCTTAGCTCTATTTGCCCTTTGTTGTCTTCATTATAAATGTATGTTTTTTCTCATTCCTATGAGAGTGGAACAATATTGTGGTTGATGCAAGGCAGTCCAATCATCGATGAAGCTTGGTAGCCCAACTGCCAGTCACTGTAATGTTAACCCTATCCGGCCAAGGAAGCTTTAAGGGGTCACAGGAGAGAGAGTATATTTTATATAATAAACCAGGATTTAGATTTATAGTAGGGAAGAACATTGTGGCACTTTATTAATATATTTACATTTATTTGTTTTAAAATCTTGTATCTCTCTTTAATTAATTCAAAGCAGCTCAAAATGAATCATTAAAATTATAAACAAATCACTAAAAGAATAGATAAACTGCTGCAAACCAGAATAATCAAATTAATGGAATATACTGTAAAACAGATGCAGCTGTTTTGAATAAAATGGGAGTAATTACTACTGTAGCAGAAAAAAAATTAATATAAAGATCTTTTCTAAAAGCCAGCTTTTCCCTGAACTCCTAAAAGGTATCACTTCTATTAGTGAAACAATATGCAACTTGATATAATTGATCTAATATTTACTTAGTCATCTGAATCAGTACGACAGTGTACTTTATGGACTCTATACAAGCTTTTTCTTGGAAGAGTAACCTTTTATCCACTTCGAACACCCCAGAGTTTATTTTCATAGCACAAACCCAGTTTTTAACTGCTGTGTTCCTTTTGCTAATCTCAGCATCTTTGATTCAGCCCCTTCATTAAAGAAGATGTTTAAACAGCAAGATATGATATTGTTCAAGCACTTCCTTCTCTTTTTCAGTTTTATCTTGTTATAGCTGTGAAAATGGCATATTTGTTTATAAGATGATTTTCAGTAATATGATACATATTCATATGCAGCATTCATTGTAAACTCCCCTTGTAAAGGTTTCAGTATAGCTTTTTGCCTCTTAAAAGTTATTCAAGGTAAATAGAATGTCACGACAAAACATTTAATATGCTTCAGAATATTACAGAAAGATGTCTCATTGACACTTGAATGAGTGAGCCATTCTTTGTTGTACCTGTTAGAAATCAGGTGCAATTAAGTCCAGATATGTCAAAACATGTTTCATTTCAGCTTGTGAAAGAATCCCACTTTGGCTGTTTCTTTGCATTGGGAAATTCTGGTGGAGTATCATGTAAACTCCCATAATAAATGTTCCTAGGTAGAGATGCTTTAACTGGGTGCTGTAACCATAGATTGGTGCACTTGCCAATCTGTCCATCACAATGTTTTGCTCAGTTGTTTATTACTGTAAGCCAGTATTATGGATTGGTGTTTTTAAAAAGCCATTGCTTGTTCCCAGTTATAGTTATCTGCCTAGTGTGCAAGTGCTGGTAGTGAAATAACAGAGCAGCAAGTAAACTGTTGGTTAGCGATTTCACAGCAACTCTGTTGTAAGGCAAAAACCAGGTTGGATGCGTGGTAGAATTCCTTGTTGGTTCTATTAACTGTTAGCCATCATCAGTTTATAGTGAGGTTCAACAGCTGCTGGAATGGGTTGATGCTAATAGCAAACTATAAACTGACTCCCTGGTAGATTGGCACCTCCTTTTATGATGCACCAAAGAGAGACTGGAAACTTTGGTTCATTGTGTCAGACCTGTTCCACCCTCAACCAGTATTGTGTGGGCACAGTGAGGGATGGGACATCGTAGTAGAGAACTTGGCCAAACAATGAGCTCTCAGAAAGTTTGCCTTCAGACATGTCATCTATAACCATTCCACTCTCCATGCACTGAATAAAAGGGTGGGTAATTGTACCTATCACAATCAAGTAAGATCATGTTCATTTATACAATCATTTAAAAAACATAATAGCACAATACAGAACATAGCACTTCGCAAATTAATAGTCCAGGCTGTGTACATGAAATAGATCTGTTCACCTGACATTAAAATAATGAATGATGGTTTTTTGTGTGTAACATGCCTTAAACTGCATACAGAGGTTCATGTTTGCAGTCAAAATTTGTGATAGGTTATAGAAAAGACATTCACAGTCTACAAGATAAGATTGCTGGCAACTCTGAAGGAATTATAGCAGCAACAGATTATTCAAAAGTATCTTCACATTCTGTCATTTAGGCAGTGTCACAGTGAGTTGTCATATCTGGTTAGTCCTGCTGATTGTGCTATCTAAGTGGCTGCCACCACTTGCACAACAGTGTTTTAGTGCTTTCAAGGATATTCTGAAATAAGTGAAAACTTCCTCTAGTTTCCTGGAGGAAGGTTGATAGTTCCTGCATAAAGGAGCAGCAGAATTGGAAGGACTGGCTGCATGCAGAATAGAAGTGGTAGTGGACACTGCATGCAGATGGGTAGGATTGGATGCTGCCCTATACTCATAATTAGTTCTTTAATTTTGCTTTTTTCTCTCTTTAGTGCCCTGGTTATAGCTGCTGTATTTGACCGTGATATCAATTGCCGAAGAGCTGCCTCGGTGAGTTATTATCTAAAAAGTTTTTAAAGAAGTTTCTGGTCTTTGTATGATATCAGTATATCTCAGCCATATGGTCCTCCTGGGCAGAGCAATGCAGTAGGAATTTGGCAATTGGGCAGTATAGAAATAAAGTTAGTAATCTCAAATTGTCAAAAGTTTTCATCTGAATTCCTGTTGTATCAAAGGGTAGTGTATCCTCTTTTCTGCTTGTCAGTTTTAGCTTATCTCATGTGATGCTTGTGCAAATCTTCTGCAGATAAAGAATATTTAACTAAACGATGGAAATGTTCTGGATCATATTGAATATATTTCCATCATGGAAATTAGCCACCCACATCTGTCCTATATAGGTACCACATTTTTGTCAAATTGCTTTTCTCTGTTCTCTTTCCTTTGGTTGTGACTATCACACGGATACATGTAAAATACTGGATCAGGCATAGGATTTCCCACTTCTTGGGGCTATCTCTTGTAACTTGAGGAAAAATCTTATTTGAAATAATGACAATAGTTGGTGTTCTAACTCTGCTGATTCTTCCAGGATGGGAAGTGTTGTAATTGTGTTGTAATAGCTCCAGGCTAACACTGTATATAGTCTGCCTTTCATGCCTAATTTTATGAATCTTTGAAACAAAGAAGTGTATGATCTTGAAGACACCAACTACTTAGGAGGACATCTGTGGAAAATTGGTATTATTGCTAAATGCTTTGTATGCATTTTCTTAAAATGCATGGCTTTAAATATTTACAGAGAAAATAGCAATTATATTCCAGATAGCATTTTTACACATGCAGAGTGTATGCTGTTTTGTTTGTATTGGCAACAGCCCTGCATTATTCTAATATTCAGAGCACAACTGAGATTGAAAGAGTGATTTCATTCATAAGACATGACAGCCCACCATGTGAATAAGCTATGCACTGTGGGTTGTTTGTGCAAAATTCCGTAGTGTGCCTGACGGATAATTGAGCTGACAATGAGTTTTCTCCCTCCTTCACCCTTGGGTTTCCCATACGCATCTCAGAGATCTTATAGCACAACCCATCTTGTCTCCTATCTTTGCTCTTATTGCAACCCCTCTTTCAGCCACCATGACTTTTCCTCACATATTTTCATGGCTGCATATTTCCCTCTCAAAAACCACTGTTTACCCCATCAAAACTCTGCTTTAAAATAAACCTCACCTTTGACAGTTGTTAAAAGTAACTGCTTCCATAAAGGGAATGAGTTGCACTTTTATACTTCCTGAGAACCTAGATACTTGGGAAAACGTTGAAATGATGGAGAACCCTGAGAACTTTCAAGTCCAAGCTAGTGGATCTCACTACAAAGGGATTGATGTAGTTACCACCCCTTTCAGAGGCAAAGAACTTCTTGTGGCTTTGCTTATGCTGGACAGCCAACTGTTTGGCAGATGTCAAGAGAAAGCAGTGTGATGTATTTGAATATTGGCATTGTCAATATCCAAGGATGGTTCCTGTGTTGATAGTTGGCACTTGTCAAAACATTTAGTAGGCAAGGCTTCATATCTTCTGTAGTTGGAGTTGTGCACTTATACAGATTCAAACCACTAACAATTTTTTTTTAATAATGTAAACATTTGCATACATTTCTCATGCAAAAAAATCAGTAAAAATGGGTAGTAAACCAGTATGTGGCTAATAGGGCAGGTTAGAAATCCAATGTAAATAAATAAATAACATTTACTATGAAGTGCTGCTTGGGCACTTTGAAGGGCTGTCATTGTCCTTCAGTTTAGAGATTCTGAACTATGATTTCTTTATGGGAAAAAGTTGGGCCTGTAAAACAGATCATGATTAGAGTGGGGGAGAGTGCTTTGGAGTAGCTGTCACTGGCAGTGACTGGCAAGCTCAGAGCAGAAAGTGGGTTTTGTTGCTCTTGCAACAAAGTAGTGGCTTTCTCACTACTTCCCAGAATCCATGATGGGGTCACTCATCCAGAGGACATAACAACTTACCATGTGTTCAACAAGTTGTAGGTTGTCAGGGTGGCTTTTTGGGAAATGGCCCTGGTTGGCATGACACAACATCCCACTGTGGCTAGTTACCTACTGTGGGTTGCTCTGTTGTGTCAATGACTTGTCTACTGTATTGGTAGCTCATTGCAGGTTTCCCAGATCCAGCTAATTGATATGCCACTCTTCCATAAGTCTTGAATAGTTTACTTATAATTTTTGTTTAAGAAGCCACACATTTTACACCACTGGACTGTACAAGCAAATAGCTTCTCCTTCATTGCCATTCCATTAGTGGGTGCCTATAAAGCCATGTATGGGCCAAAGAGGTCTTGCTTGGCCTCACAGAAGCGGTTACTACTTGCTTCCTGCTCAGTGTTTCTGCCAACCAAACCACTCCTTCCTTTTCTTATTGATGTTCTTACAACTCATACAGAATGATGATTGACAAGGGGTTGGGAAGCAGGAGTTGGAAAGGAGAAGTATTTTAATGAAGGAATAAAGACTGGGTAGAGGAAATTACCTTTATGTTTGTGAGGAGGCTGAAGGAGGACAATGGGAATGTCTCCCCCCATCTCATCCCCTCTGTCAGTTCTCTGCTTTTATATATGTGATGCATGGGGGAGATGCATGCATGTGTGAACATGAGTGGAAGGGGGGGGTGCAAAAGAAGACTTTTCCTCTCTCTCTTCCTTATACCACTTATGCACATATATGTTAACCACTTGCTTGTATGTATGTGAAAGTGTGTGTGTGTGTGTTTGTGTGTGTGTGTAGACCCTTACTTTTGTAGCCTCTTGATGTCTGTATGTTATCAGGTGACCTTATTTATAAATGCCAAATGTATTGGGCTACCTCACCTTGCTCTGAAAAATGAGATTGAAGTTATCCTGAATTTTGGCGGCAGGCTGCTTAACAGCATAGCAGGGTTGCTATAAGGAAAATATATTCCTAAATCTGTGCCAAGCAGAACTTGGATCACTAGATCTACTAATTGCATGCAAATTCTTGGGAATAATTTTACTGTGTGAAGCACCTGTTTCTTATGGTTGAGACTTACAACACAATCCTAGGCAGATCTACTTAGAAGTAAGACTCCTGGAGTTCAGTGAGGCATACCCCCAGGCAATCTATGTTGTTAATGTTCACAACTACAAGAGCTAGAGTTTTCTAAAGATCTTAGGAGCTGCACTTTCCAGATGTATTTAAAGTAAGAGCACATTGTGATGTCCATATGCTGTCATGTGATAAACATGTTACTATTTAATAAATAAAATATCTCTTCCTTTTAATAATATGAAAAAGTTAAATCAAGAATCAGTAACTTTAAAGGACTGCTATTATTTAGATTTCTCTAAATGAACGTAGCATTTTCCCATGACATAACAAAAGATTGTAGGCAGAAATAAGTAGCCACTAGCGTTCTGGATATGTACCAGCAGTTCAAGTTAAGACAGATTTCACAAGACTAATCACCAAAAATAAAGATTAATTTAGTAACCAGTTCCCTCCCTCACCTTTCCAACAGTCAAAGTTTTATTAAAAATTTAATCTACATATTAGTTTTATATGCCTGCTGAATTCATTTTTCCTCAAATTGTTGTTTTCAGAGTTGAACAAATTGACGAGTATAATTTATATAATTTAAGGCTTGTTAGTTTGAAATGATGGGCATACTGTATTATGAAATCAAAAATGCTCTGAAATGCCCCAAGATATGTGCTCATTTTCTCTTTTGATTTCTGTGGAATTGTGTTACCTTTATAAAGATTTGGAAATCTCCTTAGTTGCTGTTTTTGCATCTCCTCTCTTCTGATGAGGTGTACCTGAAGGCAATTTATTCTGCTTAGTGTAAATTATGTGCAGAGTTCCTTATTCATAGCTATTTTGTTAGGCAAATGGAATAGTTAACTGAGAGGGAGATACTTTAGTGTGGCCATTACTGGAACAGTGTATAGCTCAAACATATTTCACTTTTGGCTACCCCTTGCATGTCACAGATGGAAACTGTGTAGATATATGAGAGCTGGTGTGGTGTAGTGGGTAAGAACATGAGACTGGGATTCAGACGATCTGGGTTCTAGTCACCGCTCAGCCATGGAGCCAACTGGCTGACTTTGGGCCAGTCACAGACTCTCAGCCCAACCTACATCACAGGGTTGTTGTTGTGGGGATAAGATGGAGGAGGAGATGTAAGCTGCCTTGAGCCCTTTGTAGGAAAAAGGCAGGATATAAATCAAAAAATAAATAAATAAATCCACATAGACATACAGAAATTGGCTAATACTTGAGTAACCACTTTCCTGGACCCTGCCATACCCCATTTAAGGCCCCAATTCAAAAGGACTGCTTATGAGTAAATGAACCCATAAAATTTGACCTATTTAACTGTATCTTCCAAAAGAATATTTGCCACAAGAATAGACTGTTTCCATGTTTACCAACATCTTATCTAGCATTGTGGACATTCTCATTACATAGAAGCACACACTTTTGGCCAATTCTGTTACTGTAAGCACCCAGGAGGAATGTAAGAAGCTATCTGTTCAGTTTGTTTCTGAGGGTGCTCCTGTCTTCCAATCAATCTTCTGTAAGAAATGCACACCATGTTAAAAGTAACATGTCTGTCAGCCTCATAAATTGTTCTCTGGTTGTCTTAGAAGTAAAATATCACAAGTACTCTGAGGTTCACTCCTTAATCAAAGTGAGAACTGCAAACATGTTCAATCAATATATTGAGATCAGCTCAAATTGTGTGTAGGTGGTATCTTAAAACACTGTGCACGCAGTACCTAGTACGCAGACACAGTACCTAGTATAAAGATTGCATAATAGACTTGTTTGGCAGTGCAGTCCCTAATCTGAGGTAATCACAGCTTGCCCAGTTTGATTGTGATGATGTCAGAGGTGGGATTTGGTAATATCAGCACTAATAGAATGTATTTGAAGGAAAAGTTACTTGTTTTCCCTTCCCCTCCTTCCATCCTCTTGAGGATAAAATTGGCATAGAAATTCTGCTTGGTTTGAAGGCAGTATCCACACTGTATAAAGGATGCTTGCTGAAGCAATGGCATTTGTAGGCTCTATCTATCATGTGAACAAGACATCATTTTGGAATGATTGATCTTCCTTTGATGGCTTTTTCACCATAAAGATGTAATGATACAGCTTTGCTCTCTTTTTATTTAATCTCCTCCCAATTGTACTTGCCCAGACCCTAAGATTGTCTTCAGTGGACCTTCCCTGGGAATCATCACCAAATTAAACGATCTGGGTGACTACTAAGAAGAAGGTCTTTTCTGCTGTGCTGTCCTAGTTATGGAATGAGCTCTTTTGGGCTCTAGGAGAAGACCTCATTTTCCAAGGAACTTTAGTCTTTCTGCTTATTTTGTTTAAAATGTGTTACTGTATTTTACATCTTTCCACTGTTGCTAGAGTTTATTTTGTTTTTTTCTTGTTTCATTCTGTGATTTCTAATTTGTATATAATATTGAATCATGTTATATTTTAATAGTTTTAATTGATGTAAATGAACCAGAGATCTTTGTAATAATTAATGGTATTGTTGACTATTTGCCTCATCAAATCTGTAGCACTAACAGAGCCCATGGGGACCCAAATGCTTAATTTAGTTCATATAAGGAAGACAACTACTTTTGAAATCTAAAAATGTAGAATTTACTGTGCACAGGCTTCCTGGAAGCAAGTTGGAAAACCACTCAATTTTAAGGGACTGTTTTTCTAACAGAAAGCCCTGTGTCAGCAATAAAGGTCACTGTTGCGGGTGTGCCTATTTTTAAGAAATGCACATACTTTTAACTGTTGGCATATAGCACTGAGATTTAAAAGAGCATTAGCACATAGAGAAGCAGTGGCAACAACTTCTTGAGGGCATGTTCAGCCAACCAAGCTTACTTTACCTTTTAAAACAAAGCCATGGTCATTTATATTGCTGCATTTTTGTTTTGGATTCATGATCTGGTGTTTATCTGCAAGCAGACCTGACTCATTTTTGTATGTTTGTTCTTTCTGTTCTTAGGCTGCCTTCCAGGAGAATGTTGGTAGACAGGTATGGTGACTTCAAAAAAACAAAAACAAAAAGCACACAAGGCTTTTCATTTAATTTCTTGTAAATCCTACTGTAGCATAAAATTAAGTGTAGGCATTTTGTATTTTTACAAATGTTTGGTGAATTTGTATAAATGATTTCAGAATGATCATGGTAATGCTTCTTGTGTACCTATTAAATGCATGATTATATTGCTTGCATATTTTCTGGAAAGAACCTTCAGCTTCTTAAAAAACAACATACCAGATAGTACAGTCTGGTATGTTAGTGTTACAAATCAACACATTTCTAAAGTTGTTAGTGAATTCTTCTAGACTGTCATAGACAGTAATTATCTTGGAGCCATATGATACCCTTACTGCCATTGTGGAACTTATTTTGATTCAGCAATGGTAATTTGATAAGTATGTGAATATAACGAAAACGGGGAAGCCACAACTTGGTAGTTTATGTAAGAAATACTTATTCTTAATTCCTAATAACTGTCATTAATGCTCGTATAAGTCAGGGCACAATCCTACTGCTAAAAAGAGTCTTGATGGCCATAGGATAATTTGGAGTCCCAACTCTGACCTCAGAAGCTTGCTCTGAAATCACTGCCGTGACTCCCTACTTTGAGTACCTTCTATTTCTTCTCACAGCCAGTGTGGAAAGAATCAGTGAGGAGCTGGTTGTGGTCTGAGGTCACAAGAGTGACGCTGAGGACAGTCTTTTGGGGATACAAAGCAGAACAGACACACAGTGCCTCAGCCTGGTCTCATCCTCTGAAGCTGAACACTTAAACTGCTGTACCCCGCTATCTAAGTGTGTTTTATTTGTGATAAAGTGCAGTGGTGACTTTTGCCTCCTGTTGTGGCTGCCTGTGAATTTGGAGGATTACAGGCAGCCTCAATGGACTATACTTGTCAACAGAATTTTACAAATGAAAGAAAAAAATGTTCTTAGTTGATCTTAATTTATTCAAAAGGCTGAAACAGTTCTGTTTAAGCTAAAATGGAGTTTTAATAAGAAAGTATTAGTAAAAATGTGTGGTATTTCTGTGCAGAACTTGGTAGGCTGGCATTTTATTTTCTTCTTTTGTAAAACTACATAATTATGACTATGTATGCATCTAGTAAGTGTCCACATTTTTAAGGAAGGAGTAGTAAAAGGGATACAGATCTGGAAGAAGAGCTTTACATTGAGGAGCTTATCACGGCTGTAAGAGTAATAAGCTACTTCGTGTGTGTACAAGTGTGACTATTTACACATCCTTACCTACTAAAACATTTTGGCAACACCTTTAAGTCCTCCTTTGAATAAGGGGAGTTAATACTATTTGTTACCAGATGCATTGTAGACCAATCTTTTCCTCACCCCAGCCAAATGGCCATTGTCATGAAAATAGTAGCTATACATTAATCCTGTACTATATTTTTTAATAAGATGAAGACTTTAAAAATTTCTCTTGGCATGGGGTGTTTGTGTGCATGCCACATGCATTTCCAGCAGATGTAGACAGTTCTGTTCCTTAAGTATTGCTCATCATGTTAGGAGCCAACTTCAACTCTTTCTGGGTATGGTTTGAAGTACCCCAGAAATATTTAGAACCTGTTAGATGGAAAAGTGAAAGGAAAAAATGAACAGTATACTTTGGTCCTATACAATACCACCCCCTAGTCTCTGAAAATATATTGACTTGAGTAGCTGAGGAGGCAATTTTAACTATATCTTGGTGATTTTTACAGCTGGTTGCCTCATGCGGGAAGGAATTCATGCATCAGGCTACAGTTGTGGTAACCTTCTTAATGTGGAGCTCTTTCTTCAGATATCCCTGCTACTCCTTCCTTTAAAAAAAAGCCTGAATGGCTTTCTGTAGTTTGCATGCTTGTTTTAACCTTTCCCTTTTGTTTCTATAGGTTAATGCTCATTTTAATTGATTTTTTCTTTTACTTACACGTAGCTTCCAGTGTTATTTCAGTTTCATTATTGTAATTTGCTTTACTTGTAAAATGTTTACATAATGAGAAGAGAAATTTAGTCCCTGAAATGGCTCCATAGTCCTCTATAATCCATTATCTATTATCTGGTTTTTCATTTTAGCACTTGTGATCTTAGTGGCATTTACATTATGGAAAAGTTAGTCGGTTGAAGTTGACCAGATAACTTGCAAATTTGAGTAGCCTTTAATTGGTTCTGTGGTAGAGAAGTGCCTTGGTTTTGGGGAAGAAATTTATATTTTGTCCATGCTCAACATGGAAATTATGCCTGTAATTACATACTGCTGCCTTGATTTCCACATGTTGCAAATTGTATTTGGCCATACTACATGAGTATTTTTTTTTTAAAAAATTGCATTCAATGGCTCTTGTTGAAAATCTTGTGAAATCTTACTGAGTTAAGCATTTTTGTAAGAGTATAACTGGTCTTGGAACCCTTGAGTCTAAAACTCCCAGGCTACCATATAGATGGCTAGAACACTCTTCGTATTTGAGTGATTGTATTGATGAAACCTGCAACATACATCTTGTCCTAATTAGTTTAATCTTGCTAGCTAACCTTTAGAGACAAATGGAAATTTTTAAGGTAGTTTGAATAATCTTTCCTCAAGCTAATGACAATTGTAGCACATATTTTCAAAGCTTCAAAAGGAAATTAAAATATAGTGGTGATTTTGAGAGGTAATATTAGGAAAAAATTCTCAGTCCCTACTACAGAAGTATTTATCCCTTCCCTTCTTCTGTTGCAGTCCCAATGAAAATAACCCCACTCCCCAAACTTTGAAAATTTTATTGGGAGAGAAGTTCCCATTAAAGTGACCACAGCAAGAGTGGGAAAGAATTAAATGCCCTCCACTATCCCCCCCATCATAATCTCAAGCTTGACTGGGTGGCCCAGCAGCTTAGAAACATGTAATCTTACATTCTGTCTAATATCATATGTAGTTTCATCCTGAAAGAGGCTATTGGGCTTCACTATTAATCTGGAACCATAATTGAGGATGCATTTTGGTTTATTTTTAATTAAAGCAACTAAGCATTTTAGTACTTATACACTGAAAGAATAACATTCTAAAGTTAAATAAACATTTTACAGAGGAATAGATGCTCAGGAGGCAGAGGGTTAGTGTTACGGAACAGCTATCCATAATACATTATGGTGGTGGTGAGTTGATGACACATTATATTAGAACAAAGAATTATTTTATAAACCATATTCTTAAAATGGACTGTATGACCACATTATAGGAGAATTAAGTCAGACTTAATCTTGTCCCCCAATCAAGTATCTGCTAAGTTCCATGTGGAATTTTAGAAGGTTAGGATGTATACATTTTATAGGTTGTTGCCTCAAAATTTGATTTAGAAGGAGAGGAGAAGGGGCTGGGATTCTGAGCTGACTTGCAGAAAGCCAGCAACCCTAGAGATTAGCTAGGCAGTTACTGAGAATCAGGCAGTTTCAAATACTGCTGGAAATTTTAGACAAGGGCAGACTCAACATCATTAGTCTAATCATACAATGTCAGGTTAAGTGGGTGGAATTTAAAAGTATGCAACACTCCATGCAGTTGGCCAATAAACAGCATGATCCAACTTGAAGATGCAAACAAAGGTTTGGAAGGGAGGAGAGATACACAGTTTGGAATCAGCTTCATATGATTAAGCCTAATGGCCAGTATTCAAACTTTATTTGTTTCCTTTGTTATTGACTTCTGCAAAACTGTTCTTTTGTATCAAACTAGCCTAGCTGGTCAGCTTTAATATAATAGACTTTTAGTTAGCCTTTTTTTAAACTGATCTCCTTGGAAAGTGGAGGAGAAGACTGGCTATAACACCCCTCTGCTCACCAGATCTCAGTTCCAATTCTATCAGTACATGCTTAACATCACAGATAACTTAGCCATAACTCTCACAGTTAACATCTCTGTCTGAGAAAACAGGAGAGCATCGTTTACTTAGATGCTCAATCAGTAGATCTGAGTGTTCGTTATTTTTCTCCCTGGATCAAGAGGACATGCAAGATTAGGGAGAGATCAGTACCTTAAATTTGGAGACTAAACATGGTTTATCTAATTGTTCAAGAGAAAGGAGGCATGCTATTCCAAGGAAGGAGTACAACCCATCTACAGAAATACAGGTGAGATGTGTTGTGAGTGGGCACCAGGGCAAGGGGTCAGAATGCACAGAAGCAATCTATAGCTTTGATGGGAATTCAAGCTCAGACCATGAAGACAAAATTGTTGTAGAATCTCAGCAAGCTCCAGTATTAGATCAAGGTAAGGGAATGTAAAAATACAATCTCACTTACCAGACTTCCTGTCCCTACAGGAGAGGGTCTTGAGTGTTTGTAGTGTGTGTTGGGCTCTTGAGACAGATTAGGAATTCTGCTACTGTGCTTTTGATCTCCTGCCTCAGCTGACAGAGGTGATCTCAGACCTAGTTGTGAGAACAATTTCATCTTCCATGTCGAGTCTGCCCATTTATCTGGGGCAGCTGAGGACCTCATGGCCACCATGACAACCACAGATCTGTCTCAGCATGTCATCAGCCCAACACATGAGAAAGGTCACACTCTGGACCTGATCTTTTCAATGGGACAGGGTTTCCAGTGAGGAGGGACTAACATCTATCCCTTTGTCATGGTTGGACCACTTCCTGGTTAAGCTATCACCTCCTTTCCCCCTTTGCAAGGGTGGGAGATCATTTAGAATGATCTGCCCTGGGAAACTGATGGATCCTGATGGCTTCCAGAGGGCTTTGGCTGATATAATTGGTGCTCCTGTTGATGCCCAAGCTGCCTTATGGAATAGGGAAATGGCTTGGGCTATTGACCTGATTGTATCAAAGCGCCCTCTCCCTACCTGTCAAGCCCATTCAGAACCTTGGTATAATGATATGCTGAGGCAATGAAGCAGGTAGGGAAATGGCTAGAAGCTAGCAGGTAGAGGAAGTTCCATGATGAGTCCAGTCGAACACATTTAAGTGCTCATTATTGAGCCTACTTAGTGGCAATAAGGCAGG